GTGAACGATCCTTTTAGAGAGTAGAAGGCGCGCGGGAATATGAGAATATTGAGGCTAATTTACGTCGGCCTGGTGGGGGTCCGACGTAAATTAGCAATTCTACGTCGGAGCAGTATACAAGCCGACGTAGAATTGCTAATTTACGTCGGACCCCCACCAGGCCGACATAAATTAGCTTCTCTTTATTTACCATTCTACCACCGCGTTTTTATAACGTCGGTGTTGGCCTATTCCGACGTAATTTAGGTGACGTAAAAGACTCTTTTTGCACTAGTGTGATAGTTGATAAGTTGACTAAGTGTCCGCATTTTTTACCTATCAAAATTAAGTGGTTATTGGAAAAGCTTACTAAATTGTATATCAAGGAGATAGTATAGTTGCATGAGATGCCTTCTAGTATTATTGTAGATAGAGATCCGAGGTTCACTTCCAAGTTTTGGTAGAGTTTACACCAAGCTTTGGGGATAAAATTAAGGTTAAGTTTTGCTTATTACCCATAAATAGATGAACATTCAATGAAGACTATTTAGTCATTGAAAAATTTGTTGAGGGCCTGTGTTTCATTCATCTTGGTAGTTGAGAGGATGTATTGCCTTTAGTGGAGTTCACTTATAACAACAATTTTCATGTTAGTATTAACATGGCACCTTTTGAGACCTTGTATGGGAGCAAGGACGGAGCCAAGGGGGGACCTACGGGTGCCACGGCCCCCCAACAATTTTAATTTTTTTTTATATACATATATATTACTTTAATTTTCATTTATTATAAATTATATATTATTTATTCTCGGCCCCCCAGTATTGAAATCCTGGCTCCGTGGGAGAAGATGTATAACTCCTTTGTGTTGCTATAAAGATGGGAATCAATTGTGGTGTGACCATAGTTAGTTCAAAAACTACAAAAAAGGTGAAGATGATTTAGGAAAGGGTAAAGACTATTCAGAGTAGATAGAAGTCTTATTCTGATAGGAGGAGAAAGTCTTTGGATTTTTAGGAAGGGGAGCATGTATTTCTCAAGGTGAGAATAACTATTGGAGTGGGAAGGACAATAAAGTTGACAATACCAACCAAGGTTTATTAGGCCTTATTAGATCCTTTGTCATGTAGGTCCAGTGGCATATCAGTTAGCTTTACCACCATTATTATCTAACTTGCATGATGTGTTTCATGTCTTCCAATTGAGGAAATATATTCATGACTAAATCATGTGGTTGAGTCTGATGTTGTGCAAGTGAAGGAGAATCTAACCTATGAAAAACAACCAGTTGTTGTTGTGGATCATAAGGTGAAGGAGTTGAGGGGCATGTCCATCAACCTATTCAAGGTTTTTGGGATGTGGTCACTAGTGAGGCTACATGGGATATGGTTGTGTATGGACGCTTAATCAACGATAGATTTTATGATTTTAATCTTTTGTATATTTTGATGTATATTGTGTGTGTGTGTATATATATATA